GTTTGGGCACCCCTGCTTTAGACTAATGGAAACAGTGACGGACTGACGGACATTCTGTCAGGCCGACCCGCATGGGCCCAGTCCGCCCCTGGTCGTCTGTCCTTGACAGTTTCTGAGCCACTTGAATGAGGCAATTTTGTGTGTTTTAAAAGTCAAGTGACTGGGAATTTTGGCATTTTATGAAATGACATGTTTTCCATTATTTATGAGTGGACAATGTGGGACCATAGTGATACAGATTGGCTTCATTAATTATGCTTAAAATGACGTGTGCTAATATAAAAGGAACACATTTGAGACAATTTAATTTGTGTCACAAATCTCCATTCAATTATATGTTCTATTTAGATATAAAGGTGCTTTGATTTTTTTTAAATAATACATAACTTGTTATAATCGCAGATTTTGGGCAGGTGTGATACTGGTTTGGCTGCTGTGTGCATGTCTGATGTTGCTCACCGTGTTACAAGGAATGCTCAGGGAAGTTTGTGTGAATGCTCCGACGCATGGAAAATTAGAGGGAACATTGCTCTACACGCATACATCCATACACACAAACATGCATTGATATCAGGGTTTCCCCTAGTGATTTAAAAGCCTGGTGGGCCTCCACGCTTTGCTTGTCCCCCTGACATGACTCAATTGTGCACCCAATTTGGGCACGCAGGCGCGATGTGGTGACTGAAAAGAATTAGAGATTGTATATGTAAAACCAGCCAAAGCCACCTATTTATTCAAAATATTGAAGCTTGGGGTAAAAATGTTCACATGTGCACGCACCGCTGGCTGGGTTCCAGCTACTTGACTGAGAACATCAGCCGAGGCTGCCTTGGCTTGCTCGACGGTCGTGGCGCTGCCTCAGGGGAAGTAGCTTTCGGCAGCCACTCGAGTACTTGAAGAGCAGAGTGTGGTAGTGAATATTGCCAGTTGGCAGTTACAACAACTTTACAAGCCTCAAGAAACTTCTGTCAACATCATCAAGATGATTCTGGTGTGCCTAAAAAGGGAACAGGAGTTTCGGTCTGAAGGAGGATGAAGACCATCTCCCATCCCAAGATGCTCACACTCTAAAGTCACGTGGCACTCAAGAAGAGTACAGCTATATCGATTCATAATAATTCAAGTGGGAGAAGAAACACAATTTTGAATTACTAAGTATTATTTACCTCTGAATCCTTTGTGGTTGATTGGTTGACCATTTGGTAGGTTTCCAAGCTTTATTTTATGCAAAGTATAATTTCAAAATAGGTTAGCAAAGATCCGACTGTGTTTAACTTCACCCTTTGTCCAATTATTACTTATTTGATGACACTATGGGACTGGCCTGGTTTGAACTCGCAGCCTATAAAAGCTGAAACCACTTCTTTTTTCACTCTTCAGTTCCTGCTCTCTTTTGTTCCTTTTGCTCCTTTTGCCTCACGCCTGTTGTAACCCTGCTCGATCATTTTGTCTCTCATGTGTATCGACCTTCACCTGGATGAAATGTTTTTTGCCTTCACCAACTCTAAGTCGTGCGTTTGAGTCCAAACCACCTGTGCCAATTCTTGACAGATAGATGATCGTCAATCCATATATCAACAAAAGGAGGTAAACACTACACACAGTTCTCCAGCAAGACATGGTCAGAAGAACAGAGGAATACTTCATCCCGGTGTGACCAAGGGCCAGCACCAGGTACCAGCTCCAATGTGCACCCAGCAAGACAGGCAATTCACTGCACCCTTTTTTGATCAGTGGACAAGGCATGTCCGACTGCAGGATGGTACTGTTGTGTGTATTCTCAAAGGCAACTCAAGCAAATTGTTAAAAACTGGAACTGGTGGAAAAACACCCCACACTGCCTCTACCCACCCTTCCAAGGAAAGTTTAATGGCCACTAATGAAAAGGAATTCCTTGATCCACATCATTTTCAGATCTGCACTAAAATATTGCTTTTTGTTTGACATTACAACTTTGAAACCTTCATATACTTAACCAATCACATATGATGCTACACATCCAGCATGACGGTGGATGAAAAGTTAAGGCAAATCTAATAGCAATCCGCAAAAAGGCTTGGCTATCAAATCTTCAGTGTCGAGTTGCTGGCTTAGGCAATTCAGTACATGAGGCAGTACATCCTGTAGGTGTCACCAGTGAATCACAGGACCACCACTTAGTGACAGACAATCATTCACAACTTATTTACATCGACTGATGTCTTCAATTAGCCCAGCATATATACATACATATGTTTTAAGACTATGGGGTGCAAAACTAGGACATTAAGACAGAACCAGTCTGAGATTTTTCTTTCATTAATTAGTACATCATGAATTATGAACCTAGACATAGTGAAGCTTGTTACCAAATTTCAGGGGTGGAATCCTTTAAAGAATACCTAACAAAGACAATCTAGGTTGATAATGATCCTCCTGGCTTAAGTTTGGTGTCACTATTGGGGTGCTTCGGTTGATAACTATGCATTGATTAGAGTGCAACCAATGACGCCCCTGGCGCGGATCGCACAAGTGTAATTATAAGAATAAAGACAAACAGTATTTTGAAATACTGACATTTTACCCATGTTCTATTCTTTCACTGGCTGGCAATACTGTTACATCATGATAGAGTACTTGAGATCAGACTCACTGATACTCAACTCAACTCAGCAAGTAGGCAGAGGGGGTTTTAGGACAGAATCTATCGTGATACTATAAAATATATTTTGTATGCGAGGGTATATGAGTCTGTGCTGAGCTCATGCCACCTAAAAGTACTTCCTGTCAGAGTTATTAAATGTCTTGACTGCACATCTGCTATTCCTGTCTGCTTGACTGTCTCTTCTCATTTTGATCACTTTCTGCTTCTCCCTGTCATTATCTCTGTGCAGTATTGTTTCTGGTCAGAGTTTAGGACCTTCATTCTTTCTTTTGGAAGAATTCTGAGTACTTCTGGGAACTCTAAATAATTGTGCTTGACCATATTATCCAGACTAGTTAATTAATCAATTTGCCGAGATCACGATAACTGTTGGGCAAGCTCCTGAGTTCCCTCACTTATTGCGGTTAATGGGGACCGGCACTCGCCGCGATAAGTGAAAAACCGTGAAGGAGGGTTGGTTACCCCCCCCAGGAATTTTTGTGTATGTGGGAATCAGCATGTTTAAAATATGTAAGCAGTATTTTTACTTGACATATTTGAGACAAAGACGACAGCAGTACACATATTTATTTCAATCTTCAATTATAAAACATTATACAGTAATTAACATTCATCAGCTTGCCTTCTGAGAGAGGCAAAGAGACTTGTGTTACTCTCACTTTACGCAAAGACGATGTAGGCACTGTTAGCCACCAGCTAGCTCCTGACCAGCTATCCCCGTGCAGCCGATGTGTGTATGATAAGACAATTCATTGCTATTGATGAGGAGGAGGCGAAGAGAAACTTGCTTTTATCAGACAAGCCCAATCACTCTCTCTTTCTCTCTCTCTCTCTCTCTCTCAGCCGCGCACGTAGAAAGCACAATACAGTCAAACCTCGGTTTTCGTCCATAATCCGTTCCAGAAGGCTGTTCGAAAACCGCATTGTTCAAAAACCGAAACCACGCTCTTTTTAAAATAAAAATGTTTATTGAACAGGTCTGCTCACAATGGAAAGCAACAGGAGGAAGCGTCACTTCCTCGTCTACCCGAGGAAGCTGTCACTTCCTCGTGTAAGGAAGGCGAGAGGAGTCAAATGGTGCATTCAAGTGCGCTCAGTTTGTTCGAGAACCGAATTTGTTCGTCATCCGAGGCATAAAAAACTCGAAATTTTTGGTCGAAAACCGAATTGGTCGAGAACCGAGACATTCCAAAACCAAGGTTTGACTGTATATTAAAAGAGTATGCCAGAGATAGGCAGGCGAACAATCAGAGAGTCAACAGCGTGACGAGACACTGATCAGAGAGTCAACAGTGTGACGAGACACAAGTGCAGGTAATGGGCAGGGCTACGAAGATACGCAGCCAATCAGTTCCCGGGATAGATCTACTTGTGCTGTCATTGGTCGATGTCGCGCCAATCATGTGTAGTCATGTGCAAAACCTCTGAGTCATTCAGCATTTCTTTCTGAATACAGTACTTTGGAAGAAAAACTACAATGTAGTGAAGTTGCGATAAATTCACTTTTGGGTCCACTGCTGCCTTTACTTTTGTTATCCATAACAAATCAAGGATGCACGGTCTTTATTGATAGAACAAGTTTTCGCATTGACGAAGAAGTCAGCCTCATGAAACCTTGGATCACCGCAAAGTGTTTCACAATGGGCAGGGGTCGCTATCTGGGCTTTTACCAGTCTTTGAAGTGTGGTTCGTTTTCTCAACAATCAGTCTTGTATTTCTTCATTTATTCCCGGATTTACAGTTTAATAGAGCACTATAACATCTTTTTCAAGTCATGCATGTCGAGGTGGCTGCCAGCCAAGATTCAAATAGAGAAACCACAGTTGAAAACGGGTTAAATGGTCATTCATTCATTCATTCATTTTCCGATCCGCTTATCCTCACGAGGGCCGCGGGGGGTGCTGGAGCCTATCCCAGCCATCTTCGGGCAGTAGGCAGGGGACACCCTGAACCGGTCGCCAGCCAATCGCAGGGCACACAGAGACGAAGAACCATCCACGCTCACACCCACACCTAGGGACAATTTGGAGTGTTCAATCAGCCTGCCATGCATGTTTTCGGAATGTGGGAGTAGTACCTGGAGAAAACCCACACAGGCCCGGGGAGAACATGCAAACTCCAAACAGGGAGGCCGGAGCTGGAATTGAACCCGGTTCCTCCGCACTGTGAGGTCGACGCGCTAACCACTGGACCACCGGGCCACCGTAAATGGTCACTATTTTCCTAAATATTACTTGAAGCACTTTTTAAAATTTTCCTTATATATCTTTTACCTACACTTAATGAAATGAATAATGACATTATTAATGTCATACTCATACTGTACATTTATTCATGTTCATCCTTGTGTACATACCATGGTGGTTTCAGCAATGGAACCAAAGCTGTTGATGAAAATGTTACAGGAGACATTGACTGGAGGACCTGGAAAGGGAGAATTAGAAACATTACATGGCCAAATTGAAATGTAATGCTATCAAATTACACAATGGCCTGCTGCACTTTCTGTTCTTCAGGAACAGCCTTGTCCAAACATTCTACTGTTGGGGACATAGCTATACATACTCTGACCATTTCAACATTCAACAAAAAAACTTTTTGTCTCCCAAAAAGAAAATACCTTCAACCTGCTGTGATTCAGTCCAGAAGTAAGCGCTGGAGTGCTAGTCTGATAAACTTGAGTAACTTCGTCTGTCGGCATGCCATTCAGGCGCAGGCCTTGCCCACAATAACTTTGGATGTAAAAAATAAACAAGGAGCCTCCAGCAACAATGAAAACTAAGCGAATGATGTTTGTCATATTTTTGTTCCTCAAAAACACAAAAATTATTTTTACTCCAGCAAGAAGTTTGTATTTTCATGATCAATTTGTGAATTGTTTTGTGTGCACCTTTTTGTTTAGCGTGAACTGGATTTTTAAAAAATGGGTAGATATTCTTCCACAGATCATCGCCACCAATTTTTATTTTGAGAAATCAAATGTATCAAATATCCTTAAAAAAAAAAAAAAACCACACACACATTTTCCCCACCAACAGCTCAAAAAGGTTTAAGACAGCAGAAAAAATATTTCAGCTATTTGGACATTAATAGGCACATTGACTGACTGATTAACACATCTGCCTCCCAGCTACGAAGTTGTTGCAAAAACATATCAGAGACTTTTTTGTCATATAACAAGCTTATTTTTGTGAAGAAAAAAATACCAGCTTTGTTCAGGGATACCTTTGAAGTTTGGTCTGATTCTGGCATCATATCCAGATGTCCTCCCCATCAGTTTGTCCAGAAAGTCGGAGGGAGACATTGGGACCTGTCGAGTTCTTGCAGCATGGTCAACCTCCTTACACTGGCTGACACTAGAGACAAAACACACAAAACAGTCCACATTTTAGTTGCACAACAAGTATTTTAGCTGAAAACAAATCATTGTTTCTCAAGCGTTTTACATCAAGTACCAATCTCTCCAATTGGCTTCGTTATAACAACATTGACTCAGCATGACTCAGACTTGATCTTAGTTTTACTGTCTTTGGGCTTTCTACTGTCTTTTTTATGAATTTATTGTTTTATTGTTGTATATATGATATTTGCTCCATGTACAGCACTTTGTACACAGCGGTGGTTGTTTTAAAGTGCTCTACAAATACAGTTGAGTTGAGTTGAATTAAAATACAGTTGTCAAGTTGGCCTGCAGTGATCACAAAAATGTGACAAAGGTTTTAACCCTAAAAAGTCCATTTAATGTTATTGTAAACCACAATAACATTGTGTACCATTTTAACACTGCTTAAATGCACAACCAGTTGATCGAAATCGACCGGTTGCCCCGTGGACTGGTCCCAAGTTTCACTTTCACAAAAAGTATTATATATAAATTGTTTTATTATTATTCTCAATGAAAGTTTGTTTTATCTGCAATTCACCGGACGGCACTGGCAAAGAATGGGAATGTGGAGCGCCAGGAGAAGCATTTTAAAACTATACACGTGAGCAACGACAGCGATGTTCTTGCAACCTAGGACATTGCCAAAATGGCCTTCCATGCCTTCGCGTCAGGTCTTTACTATGGTAGACAGTGATTTCCTTTTCACATACTCACACACTCTTGTATCTACTTTATTTTTCTGTTTCGTTCATGTTAGGGACCCTTATGGCTATCGCGCATCATGGCACGCATGTGTACGTATGCGCGTGTGCGTGAGTGTCAGCGTGTAGCTCTTCGGTCAGAAAGTTTGGGCACCTCTGTGCTAGAGGGACTAAGTGCTAATATCATACTTTGCGAATTACTGATTATCGTTGACACGGTGATCGATAGGTTAGCATGTCAGGCTCACAGTGCAGAGGTGCAGGGTTTGATTCCAGCTCCGGCCTTCCTATGTGGAGTTTACATGTTCACCCCGTGCCTGCGTGGGTTTTCTCCGGGTACTCCGGTTTCCTTCCACATTCCGAAAACATGCATGGCAGGTTAATGGAACACTCTAAATTGCCCCTAGGTGTGAGTGTGAGCGTGGATGGTTGTTCGTCTCTGCTTGCCCTGCGATTGGCTGGCCACCGGTTCAGGGTGTCCCCCGCCTTCTGCCCGAAGACAGCTGGGATAGGCTCCAGCACCCCCCGCGGTGAGGGGTGAGGATAAGCGGATCAGAAAATGGATGGATGGATGAATATCCTAACAGAGTTGAAATTTTGACTTTGCTATTTCACATTCAAAGAACCTTATCTCCAGGGCTGCAATAAATACATATGGCTGGATTTTTTTTTCGTTTAACCCTATGATAAGAGCTACAACAGATCCCTGTCAAAATAAAATGTGTTATCTTCAACTTTCCTCCAAATATTTTTTGTTTACATGTTAACCTGTGCCTTTCACTGTACTTCCGAAACCATTTTCACCTTACCTCATCTTACCGTAACCGGCTAAACACTGCTGACTCAATTTTGGCCACACAGCATCATTTAACTTGGTGATTGATCCTTTCTATTCCCGATCCAGCTCTCGGTCACAATACAAGACAAAAAAGTATGGATATCCTCTGTACTGTGGACAGGAATATCTTGGACGGTGAGGTTTCATGAGGAAAGTCATAACTCTATAAAAAATAACACCCTCTTTCACATCTTGCTGCGAAGGATAAGGCAGACTTGGCTTTGGTTAAAAAATAAAAAGCTTTATTGTACAATGAAAGCAAATCCAAACAGAATCCAAATTGGAGATGCTCACTCTCAGTCTTCCTCTTATAATTTGCTCGGATACCTTTTGGCCAAATTGTCTTCATCATTTATATCCAGTGTCCCCATGCAAACACAAAATCAAACAAAAAAAAAAAAGCAATCTTTAAATTATTCGTCTGTCTGTCTGTATCTGTATATCCACCCTTCTTCGTTAAACATGACACGTTTCATGAAAGAGACAGACAGGGCTTTGAAATCACATATTTCATGACTGCAAAATGTGTAGCTATGCATTATGCACAGAAGCTCTGTATTAAAACAACAGCCGCTTCCCACCCACTACAATTTTTTTTTTTGTGTAAACATCAGGCCAGTAACCAGGTAATGTTTTCAGTGGTGCAATCGTGCAAAGTATTGTTCATTCTGCAGCACACAGTCAGGAATTGCACACACAGTCAAATGCCCTAATGCTGCAGGTCAGAGGAGACCTGCAGGCTGCAGTGGGGCGGCCTGCCGCCTGGCGCTCCGCGCCGTATGAGCTAAACAGAGGAGGGGAGGGGCGAGGCCGCGGGACTGTGTGTGATGCAAATCAGTGTGGGGAACAATTCTCACAAGAATTAAAATGAATGCCTGTAAGATATCGAAACACTTTGGAGGAATTAATTACAGATTGAGTAGTATATATATTTTTTTATATTGATGAATGAAAAAAACAAATGGGCTCCAGTTTTCCAATAGTCCATCCTGAGCAAAAGGGCAGGTGACTGAGAACTACTCGGGGTTAATCTCCGCACGTGCTTACTAGATACTACGTTTGTGTGTTTGTGTAATCCTCGGATGTGACAAGAGAGAACATTTCCAAAAATATCTCTGCTTACAGCAAAGACTGCCCTGATAAACAAACACACACACACACACACACACACACACACACACGCACGCACGCACGCACACACACACACACACACACACACACACACACACACACACACACTCATGACATGTCTTTTCAGGATCATCAGCCTTTACTTTGGCATTTTGGAGGTACTAGTGTTTACTCTGACGAAGCACGTAACCTTGATGGCTTGGTTTGCCCTCAGTTTGATTACACATTTAACCTCTTCGTAACAAAATCATACCCTGACAGTTCAAGGAAGGAAGATCAGCTCTCACAACATTCCCATTCTTGAGCTTCGGGAAGTGACACATGGAACGTTATTCCACAAAGTACAAGGGCATGAAGCACAGTGGTTCACTGAGCATTGTTACCGTCTTGCTTTGAGGTGACACTACTGGACAGCTGTTTCTTAATTTAATAACAGCTGCCCAGTGGAGAATAGTGCCACCTCAAAGCAAGATGGTAGCAGTGCAATACAATGATGTAACACATTAATATCTGTGCAGTATTAATAAAAAAGCAGCAAAAAGCAAGTTCTCCAAAGGGTAGATATAATTGCTTTTGTAACTCTGGGAGAAACCTGTATAATTAAAATAGAAGCATTGAAATCTGTTCTCACTGACATATATGTCTTCACCACCATCACGCCGAGGAGTGAGACAACCACTCACCCTGCCCCCAGCCAAAGAGCACTGACACAGAAACGCTTCCTGGATACCATGTAGCCGCACACACATGCGCGCAAATGCACATACGGACAATTTGTTGTCTGCATGAGTCGATTTGAATGTCAATGTGTCTGCAAGGAGTGTGTGAGTCATGCTGTGCATCATGTACGTGTGTTTATTTTGGTCTATTTTGGGCAGCATCCAAACCCTAGATTTCTACGTGCTGGGTTTGCAGGTGTAATTTTCGCTTTTATCCAGTTGGAGCAAAATATTCGTGCTTTGACTGATTGATCACAGAGGGCATCAGTTTTGCAAAGCATACACACACTTAGAAAACTAAAGGTATACAACCTTAAAAATTTGAGTATAGAGTGTGTGTGTGTGTGTGTGTGTGTGTGTGTGTGTTTGTATTTTAAACGTGACAATGCCAGTGAGTCCTGTGGGCTCTTTTCTGTTGGAAGACGTTGAAGCACTGATCGAGTGTTATTTGTATGCAGATGACTTATTTCAACCCTGAGTGTAAGCGCACTGCCTTTATTTTATTTCTGTAAATCTTGGATTAGATTTTGAAATGTTTTTAAATGTCTGAAATTTTTGACTTAATTGGGAAATAAACAGATTGTTTTGTCTGTTTGTCCTCATGCCAGGTGGAGCTGGCCACGAGGGGGTGGAATGGCCTACGGGTTTGCAAGCGAATCTCATTGACGCAAACACTTTTCGTGGCAGTGAGCATTGACTGTCAAACTAAATGGAAAAAAATGTCACTAACACGTATTTAAAACAAAGATAGTATTGAAGGTAACTAGCTGAATTCTAAGACACAATTGGAAAATTCTCCAACCCGTCAAAGAAAAAAAAATAGCATCTACGTGACCAGAGTGCAGCAAAACCTGTAAACAGACAATATTCACTTCACCGAGAAAAACGACCATGTATAGTATGGCGTTTTTAGCCGAAGAAAGACGAAAAAAAATGACCACGTATAATAAGGCGTTTTTAGTCCCCCCCAAAAAATGACCACAGAGAGTAAGGCGTTTTTAGCAGAAGAAAATGACCATGTAGTAAGGTGTTTTGGGCCGAAAAAAACCCGACCATGTATAGTAAGGTGTTTTTAGCCGAAAAAATAGCCGACAAAAACGACCATGAATAGTAAGGAGTTTATAGCGCTCCAAAAACGACCATATGTAGTAAGGGGTTTTAAGCCCCCCCCCCAAAAAAAAAGACCATGAAAAAAAAACGACTATATATGGTGAGACGTGTTTAGCAGGATCATTAATATAGGTAAGTATTAATGTGGCTGACATCCTCTTCCCAAGACGATGCATGTGTAATCTACTATCAATTTGACGAAATAATTTAACACACGTCATCATTAGTTCTACCAACAGTTAACATTCGCAATACTACACTTTGTGACGAATGTTTTACTCATAAAGTTACCATGCTACAACCAGTAAATTATAGAATAACCAATACTGTTTCATAATATTTTTCATAGCGATTAGCCTACAAATCTAATGACCAACTTGACTCGTAATCGTGCCTCTCGTCGTATCTCGCTCTCGTGTTCTGTGCATACATCCCAGGTGAGTTTAGTGATAAGCCCTTTGGACGATTCATA